GGCATAAACTCTCGAGGCACTCTGGATTAATTCCAGAAATCCGAAAATGAACCGCAGGGAAGAATGCCTCATTATCACGCGTGATGTAGGGCAGTATATAAGACTGCTATTCTGATGAGTGGGGTACATTATACTTCCATGTGATTTCTGTGCGGTTGGTCTCTACGTGACATACTTAGTGGAGACCTCATAGAAAGCGGTGAGTGTGCAAAGCTGTGTTCAATGTGATTGAAATCTTGGTTTAGAGTTTCTTTGTTTGGTTATGGAGGCGTCTGGCCAAGTAGATTGCTGTCAACTTGACCTTTCCAGGCTCTGAGGAAGGCGAAATCCGCCGAAACGTCAGCTCATTTGTGAATAAAGAATAATAACACCTCGCGTTTGCTCAACAAAAATACGAAGAATTACTTCATCAAATTATAGTCACGTCTGACGACACATCGCAAAACCAACGCTATAGACGTTGGCCATGTTGAGATACAAAGCTGTGTCATGTCTACCTTTTTTATCAGACCTAACGCTCACCTGACACCAGCCACTCCAAGTGTCTTCGCAAATACTAGTTGAGAAAATTTTTAACAAGGATACCTTCAATGAATTAATCATTTCGAAAAATGCAGGGTTCGTATCTACCGTAATAAACAGAATTCTATCTGTTAAATGAAAAGGCGTAGATTGTAATAGGTCTTGTTTCTACTAAAAAGGTTAGCCCTTGCTAGTGATATGGTCTTTTTTAGGTAGGATGTTATCAAGAAATCTTGCAGTTACATTCTCTTATAAGCAGTTAACAAAAACGAGAAAGATGTAACGTCATTTTACTTTTAGTATTATGTGGAGTATTGGTTCACAATGAATGGTACTAAGACATCCTATGCCAAGAGTTTCATGAGCGCTCTCGGCATCACTGCACAAATCCCAAATTTCCTAGTTTCTGTCATCAATCTGATGCAAATCATTGGGTAGGTGAACATTTTCTGGTTTCTTTACTTCTTCGTACAACTGCTGGAACAGAAATTGGCAGTTTTGGTCAATCAGAGCTAAATGGTAATAAAAAAGAGGATAAAGTTTCCAGCGTTGATAAATTTCTGTAGGATGCGCCATGCATTCGACTTCATTAAGTATCGTTGGAGGTGATTGAATGCATATCTGGCCTTTACAATGACTCGCAGGTGGCCAACCAATGTATCGAACCAGTGCTGCTGCTATCCTCCCAGATAAGTCTGGTACCAATTTGCCGACCCCGGAGGAATGGAAGGCATGGTGAGCCATGGGCGCTGGCATCGATTCCAGGTTTGTGCCGCAGTGGCGCCTCCAAGCACTGCGCCACACGCGTTCAAAGCTAAATGGTAACGTAATTATTCGCCTAACTGATACTCCAATGATCATTCTTCTGAGATATTTTAAAATGTTCTCATGCAGTCGTCTCTAACATAGTCGACATGGGTCACATTTAACCCTCACTACTTAACGCTAATAGTCAATCTCTTGTTCTCCCAGAATACTCTTCTTTTCTTCTATGGGTTCAATAGTTTTTCAGTTGGTCGATAACGAGAACATTTCAGTGGGTCACTAATGATACGGATAGTTGGACCGCTGGCGGTGAACTGCATGAACATCGTAGTGATCTTGGCGTTGGTTATTTTTCAAGATCCTTCTGTTGATGGCAGGTCTATAAAATATTGTAAAACGAACACAAATCGAATCTCTTAGTTTTTTTTTTGGAGTTTCAAATTCTTCGAAAACACTTGTTGTGTTGTTCTTGCAGATCTGATTCAGTCTGTTAAGAATCTAGCAAAGTAAAATCGTAAATAAGACTACTTCTGTCAAGCTAGGAGTTTATATTTTTTCCATAAATATAATTTTTTCTAAAATGACTTAAGAAAAAACCCGTATTTCAGCGATGCAATGGTTCTACATTGTTTCATTAACGATTGTTATGATAATGAATGCATCGAATGGCTTATATCAAGTTGGTTTCTTATTTTTCTTTTGCATTTAGATTTACATGACCCGTCATTGCATCTACTGTGCATATCCCAGCAGTTCTCGCATTCGATTCGTTTTTCTCAAACATCGTCCACACTGGTCTTCGAACTTTTCTTGTGTCGTTTCGACTGCTGCTTGAGTATTTGGTCCTCTTTGAGAATATCGTGGAATATTGGTCGAGTCAATTCTTGCAATTTTGGAGATGGTCGGGCTAAGATGTTACCATGATGATTGAAAGAAAACGTTGACTTGGACATTTAACTAGCGCCTTTGCTTCCTGATCGACGGAATCACTAACCATTGCGCTATACTCCCACTGAGCTCGGATTCTTTATCATGGTTACGTAATGTACGATTCTTTTAGTGCAATATTGTCGATATAGCATTCGATAAAGCTGACCACTTTAAAACAGCGGGTGTGGTTAAAGGTATCATGCAACGCACATCCTTCTTATTCGATCCTAAGCGCTCTATCCAAGCCTCTCATTAATCGCAGACCAGAAGAGTGGCACCATAGAGTCTCTTTTTTTTAAAACACGGCCAGTTTTAACACCTACTGCGTTGGTCTCAGTAGTTCTTGCAATACACTTGTTTCTTCGCTCCCGTAATCCACCAAGATCTTCGGATTTGTGCTCGTGGTTTAGGCTGCTTCTTGAGGATTGTTGTCTTCTTTACAAATGTCATTGATTACTGGAGGAGTCGGTTATCCCTAAAGTACTGCAATCGCAGGGCTGGAGCTACTCTACTTGAATTGCACTGAATGTGTAGTTTCCGAGCAAGTCTGATACCAAGTGCCCAAGCTTTGGAGGATTAGAGGTTTGGTAAGCCAGGAGCGAGGTCGAACCAGCACCATTCTCGTGATAAAAAGAATCATTACTGCGTTAGCCTCCTCTTCATACTGGTCTGCGACGTTGAAAATACTGATTACGTACATCAGTGGGCTTTTCAACCCACTGTATAGCTCAAATATGCATTAAATCACTTCTATGATCCTTAATGGTGTCCTGTGCATGGAGCATCCCACATAATAGATTATGGGCTCGCACTTCACCATTGTAGTTTACGTTAAGGCAAGAAGCACCCTTGAGTCATTACGGGAGAAGGGTAACTGTGAATTTGCTGATATTCTTCGTGGAGAATCTTTGCATATCAATAGGAGCGTCCTGTCTGTTGTCACCATTTTAACGAGCTCTGCGTCAACTCAGTCGAAGGTCTTTATGTCAAAAAATGCAAAACACTGAGGAGCCTAGTAATTTTACAACCACAAATCAATACGATGTGCCATCCTGAAGCATTCTCGAAGCCCTACTTGCTCGTATGGGTTCCTTCATCTACACGAATCTTTTAAGGGTAGCTTCCGTAAGTCAAAAAAAGACGTGGAATTTGCCTCATTCACTATCCTCACTCTGTAGTAGCACGATCTTATCAGGTTTCCACTGGTCCGAAAATTTATATTCAGATAAATCTGACTCCATATGAATCGAATGCTACGATTCTATCTTGGTCGGCTACTGTACGAATTTTACCGGCTGGACTGAATGTCGAGATTTGAAGAGAACCACTAGGGCAACATAACCATCCTTCCTAACTCTGGTATAGAGGCTGTATCTTACCAACCAAAATGTCGAAATAGACATTGAAGACGGTCTTCTTATTCCGGTTCTAGATGGAGTTTAACTGTACTGTCCACATCCTGTCGAGCGAGCAGAGTGCTTATGGCCTTGGTAAAGGCTCTCCTTCTTGAAAGATTCTCTTATTGCTTTGTTGCAAACGAAGTTGGACAAATCATTAAAAATTCATGAAAATAATCGAAAGAGGCAATCATGTTAGTAATTAATTTACAAATATAGTCAAATCAGGTCTGCTGTTTACTTCTTGCGATTGATTACTTGTTGACGCCTGAGTTTTCACTACTCACCAACAGTTATGTGATCAAGCGGCCAAAGCGAATAAGAAAAGAGGGCATTGTTTTGAAAAGAGAAGAATGGAACTAGTTAAGACGATTCATTGCTCCATATTTGAGTTTGAATTCCTTGAGGAAATGGTGACGTGGGTACGCAAGGAACGGAAGAAAATAGGGCAAAAAAATTTACCATTTAGTTATACCTTTTTATTTTCTGCCTACTATAATTTCGCGGCAGGGTACTAAGCGAAATACAACCACAACGTTGCTGAGATATAACTCGTATGAAATGCTGAGATATTTGCAAAACTCCGGACCACAGGTGTATGCAGTGGGGAACGAACACGCGCTGTTGTCCTTACCGGGGAGCAGCGCACTTCACCACTACACCATCCGGGTCCTTCGCTTTGCATGTATCTCAGCTAGTTCTATCGATCTTTTTTTGCCATCAGCAATCAGCCGTCAACGGGATTGATCTGGGGAGCCAATATCGGCATTGAACCCAGTGAAGCTGAGGCCTCGTTATAATCACAATCTTAACTCTTTTATTTACTGCCTTTTTCTTCTTAATAGCAGGGAGCCCCACTGCATACACCTGTGGTCCGGAGTTGTGCAAATATCTCAGCAACGTCGTGGTTGTATTACCATTTAGTGTTTGAAAAATTGCCCTACATTTCAGAATTCCGTTTTCGGCCTGACAGCTGATTTCCCTGCCGCCTATACAAATGCTCTAGTGGTTGGCAACAACATTTGCGGAACATTCACCAGCGTCTTGTCTATAGTGAGCACGGCTGGTAGGTTTCGCTCTCGTATGCTCATTGTTTCAAAAATAACGCATCATGTCTCATACTCACAGTAATCTACTCATCGGAGAAAAACGGAAGCATTTTAAATGATGAAACTTTCTTGCTGTGATTCCTTGCGATTACCACCTATTCGTTATTGTAAGTCCTAGAAACAATTTTTTCTTTTTCTTAATTTCAGGGTTTCCAAACGACTACAAAGCGGTTGCTTTAGTGTATTTCTCGATCTCATTGGCTACGCTTATATTATGCGAGATATCATTAGTAGTTTTAACGCGTTTAGTAAGTAAACTGTTTTATTTTTTAGTTGAAGCTACCTACATTTCCGCTTTTCTTTTTCTTCTCTGTATTTGAAATTATTTGAAGGATTTCTACAAGTTCTATACAGAAAAGGGTAGAAGAAGTCGTTTAGCACAAAACGCTACCCGACCAAGTTTGGCTCAATTTCTCGAAACATTCAAAAATGTGAGTCCACAGACTTTAACACCTCTGTAAATACTGTACATCTCGTCTTTATAATCGTATTATCATCTTCTTGTGCAGAAACTCCGATCGTATTGATAGTGTGACATTTTTTTTACATTTCTCGTTATCACATCTACTGTGCGAATCTAAGCACTTCTTACATTCGCTTCGTTTTCCACAAATTCATCGTCCACAAAAGTCTCCAAACATTTTTCGTGGCAATCTTGGAGGTAGGCGGCTAAGGTGTTCCCAGATGAATTGGCGGAAAACGTTGGGGCGGGGATCGAATTAACGCCCCTACTTCCATAGCGACAGCACCACTAACCACTGCTCTATCCCCTCTCTCGCTAATGTGATATTAGTAATCCAAAACGACAAAAAAAGTTCGCATTAGTATTGACACCATTATCGAGTACCAAAGATAGGAAAAAAGGTGAGAGAGAGGCATACCTAAAGGAAAATTGCTGATTACATAAAACTGAGCATTAGAGATTTCAGTGTTGGCCACAATTGTTAAGTGTGTTCATGGTGTTCTTTGTGACGTTGGCCGTCTTTCCTACGGTACTTGCCGGGACCGTGCCCAATAAAAAAGGCGAACCATGGAACGGCATCTTCTCAAGTTCGTCTTTTTGTTTCTTATTCTGACGCCTTTTTTGATTTGTACCTCTCTATTACTGATGAAAACCTTATGGCAAATTTGTTGATTTGAGATCAAATTCAGGGGAACTTTATGCTGGTTTCACTACGTTTCTCAATTTCAATCTTATGGCAGCAGTGGGTTCAACAGCTGCTAATTTTATACAAATAGTAAGTATTAGAGTGCTTTCAGAACAACAATGATGCTGAGATATTTGCAAAACTGAGGGCGGCAGGTATCTCTGGTGGGGAACGAACGCGCTGTTACCCTTTCCAGGGACTAACGCGTTCACCATCACAACATGCGGGTTCTTCATTTCGCTTATCTCTCAGCTAGATTCCTATTGATCAGAGCCATCAGCAATCACCCGTTAATGGGATTGATCTGAGGAGCCCGAATTTATTTTTGCTTTCTTTCGCAACTCGACCAGCTCGCCAGACTCAGTTACGGAGGACCGAGTATCCTTCCGGGTAATCTTATAGGTTTAAGCAAAGGACGGCCTTCTTGATTAATGCGAGCACAGACCGTTCGCTTTATGTGTTCAAGTAACTGAGTTGTTTCGGTGTTGTCTGGAACAGACTCGCACCACGTCTAAATTGGAAAAGTTGGGCACTGCTAACGATGGATACTTCTTACCAAAAAAAGACAGAAACTAAACGGCTTTTTTAGGCTTGCCTTTGAAGCAGCTGATATCGCGCTGTTGGATAAAACTAATACGAGCGGGATGAGATGTGATTACTGTTTGTGATGCTAGTGAGGAGCTATTCCTTCCTAGATGTGACAGTTCCGTTCAAAGACGAGCTTGTTCAAGAATAGTTATTCATTTGAGTAACTACTAACTCAAAATGGATCCATATGGCTGGCTATATGCGGAGCAATGCAGGATATCTAGGCATTCTGCTTTCATTTGATGAAGATTTAAAGGAAGACAACATTTTTTATGAAATTATTTGTCCGAAGGACATGTTAGAATGCACAGACTGGATGGGAAGGATGGTGTGTGAAGCCCTGCTGAGTGTTCCAAGAAGACCAAGGATATCAGTGCTAATTCATGTTTCCAGAGTCAATGAGCGAAATATTGGAGATGTGATTCTTATGATCGGCAATATCGTTATAAAATTGAGAAAGTCGTAAAACGAAAGTTTTCCCTAATCGTTTTGCTCACGTTCCAAACTTCTACATTAGGTCTGACTATCATCTTCTCTGCGCAGAAATCTTTTCCAGAAGGGATAGAAAGCCGTGGAATTTAAGAAGCGAAGCAAAAAAGCTACCGTATTTTGCGATTTGTTAAAGGTGTGATGTTCTAGTATGCTACTAAGCTATCGCTGTAGTCCGTTTAGGGAACATCGACTCTCCTTTTTCGAACTACGATAAGCCGGTTTTTTTGTCCGTAAGAAGTCGTTCTTTACCATTATACTGGCTGGCTTTTCATACATTATCTGCAAGAATGTAAGGCTTTTGGTTTATAGAAGCCAACATCCTGCTGTTCTGCAGGAAGTGGAAGCTACACGACTTAGGCAGCACGTTGGCCGCTCTTTGTTATGCAACAATTCTGGACTCAAGAGAGCACCACAATCAACAAAGCGCTCGATGATAGTAGCGACAAACTCATATCGCGAAATTTATTTATTGCCGCTTTCGAGAACGCTCTATGGAAATCGGAAGGAGATATTATGGAACTAAGGGTCAATAACCTGTAACTGTTCCATCTTCCATTGCTGGATGACATTGCTCTTATAACATCAACCATTAGCCGTGAGAAAGTTATGCTAGCCAACCTTGACATTATTTGTTTGGGAATCGGTCTTCAGAAAACGACTTTCGTGAGAAACTATCTCGCTTCTCAAACCCTATTCTCCCTCAACTTAACGAATATTTCTGAATGCTCCAGCACCGTAAAAGAGCACCGGAGCTGTTCAGAAGGCGATGAGCGACGTTCAGAATTACGAGAACACAGAGATTGTATCAAAGAGGATAGAAACGACCAGCACTGTGCTTATTTCGAATTTTGCTATTGACTTTACTACATTTTTCTTAAGGTAGGCTTGAACGCCAAGTAAGCAGGAAGAAAGGTTAATCAGCTATTAAAAGAGTGAGTTATTTTAGGAGAATCACTTATGGCCCAGGTGAGAGAGGAAATTCGACGCCCCGACGTACGTAAACGATTCTAACTTGATAGCAGCCGATGGTGAATAGGTTAAAAACACCTCAAGGGATTCGAGCACCTCGCGTTAGAGAACCCGTTGGGCATTTCCGAATCTATAATAATTCATATTGGTTTCTCTTCGTGTCACTCTGCTAGTCTGGTACCTAGTTATCATTTATGTTCAACATTCTAATACTACTATAATTTCAGCCAGGACCAAAGACACTACTTTTACCGGTTCTGGCACGCCTTCTATTCATTCCGTACTTTATGCTCTGCAATTATAACATAGATGACCGTGTGATGCCGGTAATCTTCCAAAATGAATGGTTTTTCATCATCGGTAACGCTGTGATGGCATTAAGCAGCGGGTATTTTAGTTCACTTGGAATGATGTACGCTCCCAGGTTAGCGTTTTCCGATTGCTCATAAGTGTTTTTTCTACCAAGACACGAAAAATAACGACATTTATTGGAGATTAATAGTAATAAAGTAAAGCAGAGTGATAAAATGTTAATGCTTTAGTGAGCGCAAGAAACCATAAAACACAGCGGTCGCCTTACCTTCCATGTATTTGAAACCACCGATAAGGATAAGATAGCGATAAAGTAGAGATTAAGGGTAGTACCACTGAAATTCATTCGCTTGCTCTAGCGTGGTAGGTCGGATTAGAAAGGTTTAGCGTTTCCTTAAGAATGAATATTGTCCAGAAGATAGTTAGAATACCGATGTACTCTCAAATAGCCTGCGCTCCTCCATTGCAAGCTGGGAGGAAATTCACCGAGAAATACCAATACGTGTGGTACCTAATGGGATAGAGAGGGTGCAGAGGGCTGTTCCCTATATTGGTGCAGTGCTTTGTTGATATTTACAAAATTACATGATAGGTCATCACCTTGTCGAGTTAACTCACCGAACATCAGTAATGATACTATTTTCAAGAATCACTTTACTATTCATTCAATATTAAAGTGAAATGTACAAGTTTTCAGGGTCGTACCCGAGTCACTATCGAAAACCGCTGGCATGGCAGCAGCGCTTTGTTTAGTTGCAGGTGAAGTTATTGGCAACATTAAATTTTAATTGCATTAACGAACTCATTTTGTTTCGCAAGAGTTCCGTGAACCGAGACCAAGGAGAAATACCTATTTACTATGGTTAAACCTGGACAGATAGTGCTACAAAACAATCAATATCTATCTTTATTTCAATGAACTTTTACTGGGCATAGTTTTGCTTCCGACAACCCACAATAAGTAAGCAACTATTACGTGCCTGTGTAACTGGTTCATCTTGGCGAGTAGTGCTTTCAACCAGCACGTGGTGCATTCGTTTGTTTCTCACGAAATCGTCGACCACCATCAGAATAGGAACAATTGAATTGCGTTAATTATGCATTATCGGCATGAACAATATACTGGCCAGTACCCGCTTACTTAAACGACTCCTTATCACGATTCTGAAGGCCTTTAGCAGATTTTCTATCCAACTGCCATTTTATCGACCGAAGTTGGGTGAGTTACTTTCTTTGAGTCCAGAGATAATCATGCTACATAGCTCCCATGTGGTGATCGCAGGCAACAACCAGATGCTATGGATCGGGAGATTTGGGAGAATTGTTGTCTTGTATTTTAGTAGAACAGCGCGAAATCCGTACGTTACCTTGTTCTCAGTGCAGTTTTCGTGCGATGGCGTTGGGCTTTTGGATAATTCTGACAAATTCTACAACCCCTCACAAAATTGAGACAATGGTAATCAGGGAGGGAAAGTCCACGAAAATCAACCGCTATATTCGCTGTTCAACCTTAAGTGTCACTCTATTCATATAGTGTTACAACCGCTAGCAATTCAGTCATATTTCCAATAGCAAAGGGTAGGAAGCTTCTTCGAATCTTTTGCCGTCCCACCTATTTGCAATGGATGGGGCGTTGGTCTATTCAATCTTTACATTACTTTTCTGTGACAAAGAAAAACTGCCTGTATTATGCTCTCTTTTGAAGGAACGTTTACGAGACTGCTTTTTAATTCTTCTTCTTTCTGTTATTTTCAAGATTAAGGTACTAATTAATTATAATTTCGCTGATATCTTAAATCCTACATAATTCCAGGTGTGATGGCTGGCGTAGCGTTCACACCGTTCATTACTCTAATGGTGAACAATATCGGCTGAAAAATTGTTGTCTACAAAAGAAATCCAATCAATACTACAGATTATTCATTAAATGTTTAGCAGTTTTGTTTTCGGCATCTTATATACATGGTTACAAGTTTGAATGTGCTCGTAATTTGTGGGGAATGTAGCGCAGTGGTAAGAGATGTCTAGTGATGGACATGGTCGTTAGTTCTATGCCACACCTTAGACTAATCAAGCCTTTCTTTATCTCTCGGGTGTCGGAAAATTTTAATCAGATTTTGCTATGACGGTAAAAACTCCGACTGGATGCATCGGTAGCTCTGCACAAGTGATTTTATAGGTTGAATAAGCATTCAGTCGCTTCTGTTATGAATAGAAAAGATGAATGTACGGTGCATCACTAAGTATGAGCGCCCTACGTTCTACGTTCTATCTTTTACTCAGAAATGAGGAAAGGAACGAGTGCACGCCCTATCCCATGCTAAAAAATAGACAAACAGGCGAAAAAACAAAAAGAGTTTAAAAGTTGAAGATCAAGCAGAAGTTTTCTTAATCACTGGAGCGTTCAGTACTTTATAACTGGTGGGGTAACAGTGAAAATTAGTTGAATGCACATTAATCGGATACAGTGTAAAAGGACCTGTCCATATTATCCACATCGCGCAGTACTGTTAAATACTTCATGCCTAGATGAGCTTACATGTTCGGATTGGATCCAACGCGTAACTTTTGTCAAAAGTCTTCAAGAAACCTCTTCCCATAATCGAGGGGACTGGAAGAGTTAATGAATGGGTATGGGTGGTCACATAGTAAAAACTGCTAGAAGACATCACAGAGAAGGCGTGATTTTCTGTTTCTGTTCTTTGAACGAGCAGGACCAACTGGTTTACTTTGGTTTACTCTTGAAAGCTCCACGAGCCGCTCGTTTTCTTGTGCTCAGCTCTGGAGCTAGGTCGTTCATCATATTGATTTCCCGACCTAGATAGACATAACTGGAGCATTCGGAGACAATCGTTCCGTTGAGCGTGAATGGGGCATGCGAAACCAATCCGTTCTTCATGAACATCGTTTCTGTGAGATTTAGTCGAAGACCGATCTTTCCACAGACTTTATCAAAGTCGTCAAACACACGTCCTGCTTGGCTAATGTTTGATGTCATAAGGACGATGTTATAAGCAAAGCGAAGATGGTGTAACTGTCGACCGTCGATTTTCACTCGCATTTTATCTAATTCCAATGTTCGGATGACGTTTTGGAGGGTGGCGGTAAATAACTTTGGCGAGATGGTAACGCCTTGCCTCACTCCTCTTTTGACGTCAATGTTAATATCGTTGTAGAATGGTGATATCGTGGTTGTGAAATTTTTGTACAGCTCACGAAGAATCTTTGTGCATTGCAGTAACTGCCACGACCGACTTTCTATTAACCTCGGCATTGATCAAGTGATTTTCTTCGTATTTTTGTTGAGCAAACGCGAGTTGTTACTATTCTTTGTTCACGATTAAGCTGACGTTTCGGCGGATTTCGCCTTCTTCAGAGCCGCTTTCTATGAGGTTTCCACTAAGTATGTCACGTAGAGACCAACCGCACAGAAATCGCGTGGAAGTATAATGACATTATACTTCCACGCGATTTCTGTGCGACCCGACCAATGTGTGGTCTTCTCTGTAGAACTTCTCCAAGTCCATATAGAACGCTTCAACTTCTTCGAAGATTGTCAAAGCCGGAATTGATTCACGTCTTCTTAATCGTAAACGTCCGATTCGGATTGTATGTTGTTCGAATGAATCGATGTTCATGGGCAAACTCGTATTGACGAGAACTCCTACGCCTCCGACTCCTCTATTGTCGCATGTTCTGAGGAACAGTTCCTCTCCGGTGTCGTAGACGGCGTTGAAAGTCTGCCGTCTTCTCGTCTCGGCCAGGCCGATGGCGTCGTACCCTATCCTTCTTGCTTGCATGAGCAAGTCTTCTATCGAGGACTCGGATGCAAGTGTACGTGCATTGCAAGTACAGATCGTCACCTTAGTTCTTCGTTATTCAGGCAGCTTCCATTGGCCCTGAGATTTTAGCAACCTCTCCATACTCGTCCTACCCAACGCTGCGAAATTGGGGGCTCTTTCGGGGTCAGGAGAATGAGGCCCGTTCTTTTTACTGTGTTTAGCATTTTTTGATACCCAAGTATAGCATGCAGGGCTCTGAACGTGGGGGGGGGGGGGGGGGGGGGGGCTGGGTATACTCACGGGTAGCTTGCCAGTCTCTCCCAGAGTGGATATTTATTGAACGCGACTCCTAACCGTCCCCATATACTTCTCTTTCACTTGATTGCAGGCCGAATTGACTCGTAGATCACAATCCGCATAAACGAGAACACCCACGAACGCATGTGTGAATACGCCTAGCAAATACAGAAAGCATGTGTCAAATCAGCGCAGCAGAAACAGGGAGTCTATTCCCTGGATCCACCTGCGTCTCAGGGAAGCAAGGGTCGCTTTTGGACTGCGATTAAACCTCTATCCGCCACCTGAGGACGCGCCACGTAGCCTTGCGACTAACCGGCTCGAGATCTCTCATATGAGGGAGATCCGTGGATAAACAAGTAAATAAATAAATAAGTATACGAATAAAGATGTATGTATATATGGCTATATCCATTTGTTGTTCTTTTTTTGAAATTAGGCAAGAAATTTTCAAATGAGGAGGAGATCTCTGCTGCAAGATAGCACAGAGCTTCAAACATGCAAAAACGAGTAGAAATTGCAGGAACTAATAAAGCAGTACTCACACAATGACTTATTGAACTGCAAAAATGTGTGTGGATCTGGATGCCAAAAAGAAAGAGTACAATATTTTCCTACTAGTAAGTTTGTATCAGTAAACTATACCACCGTCATTATCTTCAACCACCGGGACAACGGCCATGACAAAGCATTTTCACTTTCAAAAGTTAATGGCGGCATTTTTCGAAAATTTTTTTAAAATATACTTTCAGATAACTTTAAAAAGTGTTAACTACAAATTTTTGGTAATATTTTTATTTTTTATTTTATTTTATTTTATTTCCCCCAAGGGTTTACCGCCCCATTGTTGCTGGGAGGTGTTCCTGGGTGCCGGACTGCGATATACAGCGGGGATTCATCCTCTGGCAGGGTCTCCCAAGCTGAGAAGGAGTCTGGCGTTTCTATCAGGAAGCCTAGCTAAGAGTAAACCAATACCAGGATCAACCACGGTCCTGGTATCAAAGTCGCATGGTGGTAAATCTCCCTCTGATCCACAAGGGCTGCAACTGCCTGTGGTGGTGACCCTAGGGCAGACTTTGGCCGGGCTGACCTCGGACGTCCAAGGAATCATAATGGCTTAACCAGCAAATGACCGAGAGATGAAGATTGTGCGGAGTCCGCACAGCCACTGAGGACGGACCATTCAAGGATCAAGTAAGCTTATTTTGTTTGATCTCTGTTCACGTCTTCTGTGCGGATCCTAGCACTTCTCACATTCGACTTGTTTCCTCGCATCCATTATCCACGAGGATCTTTAACTTTGTGGTACTTTGAGGAACTTTTACGTGTGGCTTCGGCTGCTGCTTGAGGATTTCCATTTCATCTTGAATCTCGTAGAATACTGGTCGAGTAGTTTCCCTGATAACCTGAGGTAGTCGGGCTGGAGCGTTCCCAATTGGACTGCAGCGAGTGGTTTTTTCCCAGGGAAGTCCGGTACCAATTTCCTGACTCCGGAAGAATGAGAGGTTTAGTTGGCCCGAAGCGGAGTCGAACTTGCACTATTGTATTGGTTGTTATTATTGATATTGGCCACCATTATTGATAATACTAGGGTTTGTGTTCCCAACAACCGAGTAAAGTTAAACTGCGTACTTTCGTTGCAACGGCGATCGATCAATAGGTACAGAAATTCACAGCGTCAATAAATGAATGGAATTATGTATAGTTTTTAGCAGAGACATCACAATCATTGTTCTTTGACTCATGAGGAAATTTCTAGAATATTTGTTGAAAAAATATGGGAGGCACTGGGTTTCTAAGGCTATCGTCACCCTATACTTCATCCATTGGTCTCTTCTTTTCTTCCCTCACTTCCTTTCCCACTTACCTCTATCTTCATGTTCTCTGATTACGAATTCGTCGTCAACCTCAATTCCTTTTCCATCGAAAGTGACAGTGAAGAAGTTGGAAATTAGCAAGCTGTCGTGGAGTCTACTTTCTGTTGGAGCGACTGAACAAAGCGAATCGGGGAGAGAAGATGAAATCGTAGAGCGAGCTCATCTTTTCTCTCCAATATTTCTTTGAAAATATATTTCAAATCTCCAACTTGTCGACTATACAACCTGTAACAGAGTCAACCCTATCAAATGGAGCCGCAGCGAAATGTACAACTCTGGAAAATTCGTATGTGTTGACAAATCCAGCGTACAGTTCAGAAGAAAAGTCAATCTTGGTTGTCTATCCTACACAAGAAGCACAAGTACAGAATCAATCTACCTAAACTTGTATGAGAAAAGGCTGCACTGCCAGAATTTAGGTACGTACTGGAAAGGATCCATTCATAACTAGAGATGTCGCACAGGATGTAGTGTTGAAGTCTGTCTGGTTTATAATGCTGAAATATTTGCAAAACTTCGGACCGCAGGTGTATGCGGTGGGGAACGAACAAGCGCTGTTGTCCTTACCGGAGAGCAGCGCACTTCACCACCACACCATCCGGGTCCTTCGTTTTGCCTGTCTCTCAGCTAACATAAAACATACCCTGCTATTGAAAAGAAAAAAGGCAGTAAATAAAAGGGTAAAGATTGTGATTATAACTAAGCCTCTGTCTTGTTTGTTAGAAGAAGAAGGGTATCTCTACACCCATAGTTAGTGCACAGTTCTTCCGCGGGCCGACGAGTTGAGGAGAAGGGACGGATCTCATTGGCAGGCAGGCGATTGGGCGGTACTTTGTAATCTAGAAACGCCATCTGTGAGTGCGTATGGTTGCCGTTACATCGTTTGCCACGAACACGTCCGCAGCTCGTTTGGGTAGACTTCCAAGAGGACGTTGGCGTTCGCTTGGAGATTACATCACCAGTGCGGAATTCTATGTAAAGATTGTTGGTTGTAAGTAGAGATTGAAAGTCTTACTTGTAAATAGATGACTATGTATAGATTTTAGGCTGTAGATTGAGAAATAAATAGAAAATAGGAGGCTTTGCAGGACACTTGTTAACTGATTCGAAAGACAAATTGAGCTGAATTTCACTGATGAATGGATACTCTGCGAACATCGAGACATTCTGGAGCCTCCTTAGTAGCTCATCGTCTTCTCATAGCGGAATGCTCTTCTTAACTGTCGAATTAGAGTTCTCAAGTAAAGGTACTTCTGCGCCCCTCCATTTCCCATACTGCCTCTCATGCATACACTCCTTAGCAGCAATAGTCTCTCGCCACAAAATTAGCTCGTCCAAAATAGGTTTTCGTAAATTATTAGGTGAAGAGGAAAACTTTTCAAATCATCCACTGACATATGTGTTGGGCAAACTATCGATAGAATGAAGAAAGAGCGATAGAGAAAAACCACTGCGAACTACTGGATAAGTGTGCACCCATTTTGGCACACGTGGTCCGGTTTTTGTTAACTGCTTTTCATGGATTCGCTGATTTCATTATTCAGTGGGTGTAATCAAAATTAGATGTCGTTCAGACTAGGAAGTTATATTGAAATAAACGTCAAGTTCTAGTGTTAATATAAAGAAGGGAAAGGGGGCGGTTGGCGCAGTAGGAGTGACTCCGCTCGTTATCCGAACGACGGAACCTTGCCAGGTGCTACTTTGACATGCCCCGATTCTACCAAGTCTTTCATCTCTCTGGAATGTGAGTTCGGGAATTGGCACCAGACTTATCTGGGAACGCTCCACTACCTCTAACAGAAGTGAGAATGCTCAAACGCGTTTGTATCAGAACTACAAGGAGAATAATCCATCGGGCCAGCATTCAACGGCACTCATAACGAGGACGAAAATCGTCGAACAGCACCGTAGAATTTACGACTAAAAATTTAAGGGCCTGCCTTCGTGGTTGCTGGATGCGAGAAGACGAATTTACTCCAGGAAGCGCTGGGATACGCGCAGAGTGATACACGTGGTGGCGCGTCATGTAACAAAAAATGAGAAGGACGTTTAATAAGGTACCTGTTAGAACGTTTACAAGGTACTTAAAGAAGTTTGACAAACAATATAAGCCATTGGTTTATAAACATTCGACAGGAAAGATGCAACTTTCATTCCTTTTAATGGAAATCTGCTCCGTTGCATGCTTCCCTCGAAAAATCGATACCGTGACGCCGGTAGATCATGGTGCAACAAGTGGTACCCACTAGGTACCCTACATCCACCAGCAACCGACTGCAACTTCTACAGGATACTAACCATCCAGAAAGTAGGTTTCATTCTTTTATCCTCGATACGTTTCATAGCAAATCCCACGGAGGAATAAGTCTATTGGTAACAGAATCTTCTGTCCATATATATTTACTTAGATACTTAAATGGCACGTCTTCACTGTTTGTGCGGGCTCCAGCATAATTTCCATCTCCTCCGAGTTTTGCTGATTCAGCCATTTAGTTCTCTGGAGTCCCGAAGTTAGCCTATTCAAAGCCATCATCACGTCTTCACCAGCCCATCCAGTCGACACCGTTGTGGATCAGAGGGAGATTTTCCACCATGCGACTGTTCTAGTATTGGTTTGCTCTTAGCTAGACTTCTTGATGAAAACGCCGGACTCGTTGGGAGACTCTGCCGAGGGTTGAATTCATCCTCAGCATATCGCAGCCAGACAGGCGGAAACACCTTCCAGCCACGTTGAGGCGGTCGTTAGGAGGGTCCATATATAATGTGTAAAGAAATATAAATAAGTATTTATTGTATATATAAGATGGATGTCAAACAAAAGACTAAATAGGACAACAATGATAAAATTGTAGGTAATAATTTGTTATAGTGTGGAACATCAACGTCGGCCAGAGTCACAATAATTTTCTAGGAACTGTCACCGATACATTAGAAGCAGCTGGTCATAATAATATAAGATACTAAACAATATAAATAAAAGTATGAATGTATAGTGAAGCAAAGTATGAAGTGTAAACAAAAGCACAAACGCAAGTAAAGTTCTTAAGCTTTAAGTTTGTTTTCTAAATCTTTAGCCCGAATGAAAGTTGGATAACAACCTCGTGTAAGTTCAACAATTTAAAGGCATTAATAAAGCACAAATACATATTTTATATGTAGATGTATATTGGTTGTAGGCAAGTAATCTGGTCTTTACAGTCCAGGTCACTTAGCATTACAGGGTTTTTTTTCTTTTTTTGTCTTAGGTCTTCTACTCTGGCATCAAATGCCGATCGTCGTTGTTGAGTTCATTCTTATATTACTGTGTTCTTCTTCAATCGCTTTAAATATTCTAGGTTCGTTCTGTATTTCACTAATTATTATTTTCATATACAATTGGTGCAAAGGACGTGTGTAGCGCAGTGATCGGAGGCCCCCCGTAATACACATGGGATCAATCCCAGCGCACCAGGGCTCACCAAGCCTTCCATCCCTCCGGGCTCGGCAAATTAGTACCAAACCGGCTCGATACATCGGTAGGCCACTACGAGTCATTGTAAAGGCCAGATATGCATTCAATCACCTCCAAGGATACTTAATGAAGTCGAATGCATGGCGCAATCCCTCAGGGATTGATCAATACCGAGAGCTTTATCCTCTTATTTACGATTGGTGTAAGTCGAGTGGAATTTTCGCAAATAGTAGTGGAATACAGTTTAGAAACTAGCTTTACTAGTAATTATTATTATATTGGGACAGATTTGTCACATTCACTTTTTTGTTGCAGTATGGACCAGCACCGTGGGCCAAAGTCATAATAATTTTCTTGGAAATATCGCCGATATATTGGAAGGAGCTGGTCATAATGTGGTGCGTTCGATCGCTTTTTATAAGTTTGATCAGTTATGGTCTTGTTGATCACTTAAGGACAAATGTCAGGTTATGATGAAATACGTTTACATTTAGACTTTGTTAATGGTCGAATTTGATTCAGATTTCAAAGGTGACACAGGTACGAAACTTGTGAAGCATGTTATAAGGTAATTTACATAACTAAGGCTACTTGTTGTCTTTGGAATTCTTTATTTCCAACGCTCTTTACTCAGTGATTTCTGGGTCTTAGGTATAGTTCCCCTTATTATGATCCAGCTGATTGGCAAACGTTAACATTCAAACAAGGCAAAGTGTTCAAAGTCGTATTCGGTCTTAGCCTGATTGATTTTATAAAGATGCAGGTTTACGCCTACAGAATTTGCAAAGGTGAGTTGCTGTGTATTACTCTTTATCTTCTGGTTTTTTTACTTTATTAAAGGGATAAAGAATAAAGCACTCGGCGTCGGTTAATTCCTGAGGGATACGCCATGAACTCGACTTCATTGAGCATCGTTAGAGAAGATTGAATGCATATCTGGCCTTTATAATGACTCGCGGTGGCCTGCCGATGTATCGAGCCAATGCTGATATCCTCCCAGGCAAGTCTGGTACCAATTTGCCGACCGCGGACGAATGCATGGCTTGGTGAACTAGGGTCGCGCGGATGGATCCCATGTGTGTTGCAGGGCGCCTCCAACCGCTATGCTATAAGGGCTCTTACTTTATTATATACTTAAATTAGACTCGTATTGATCTTCAATCAAGAATTATTTAGGCATTGTTGATGACCCTACACTAATAAGAACGTTGCGTGATTCGAAGTTTGATCTAGGAATCTATGAAATGTTTCATAGTTGTCCAGCAGGTGTAATGGAGTTGGCTGGTAGGAATCTCTATTTCGTTTCAGTTTTCATCCAGTTAACAATAAATTTTTTTTTGCTACACAACTAGTAGGTTTGTAAACTCTGTATTTAATAAAGCCTATGGTAACTTTTCATTACTACAGAGTAATGAATATTTCAAGGGGTGCCCAAAACCATGCTCGCATCAGCAATTGGCATTGGATATCATCACTATCGTATTCTTGGTATGGAAAGACAGTCTAGTTTTGTTCCGGGTATATTTTTATACTAGCCTTTTTACGAAGATCGATGAAGAAGTCCTAGAAAGTTTTTTTTATTCAACTGTTTCTAATGAGAACGTGTTTTTTTCAGCTTCTCTAACAAGTTATGGAGGTCGCATGAACTTTATTGGTAGGCTGTCCAATGTGCTCATCAATGGGTTAAGTACGTTTCTTGCCTTTGTTGCTAAGGTCGAGTTTCTTTTCACACTTTAGTTTAGGCTGGATATTTGCCAATATCTGTGAACATTTTGAACAAGCTCTGTTTGAGAGTAGATTTCCTGATTTTCCAGATTTGCACGAACTCATTCAGGTATGGTTCTATGCACGATTAAATACTTAGGTTTGGTGGGACTCCCTCAAGCCCACTCTGTTGCTTCTTGTGTAAATCTGGCGAAATATGATCTGTTCTGTCACACATTCGTGGAATTCTCGTTAAATTTTGGCCTTGAACAGAATATTCATACTACCTCCAATTATCGATTACTTATGCCGAGATTTATAGAAAGTCGGTCTTTTGAGTTATTGATATGGTCATCTGTGACATGGGAACTTCACTCGTGCAATCTTATGCTGATATTTAGAAAAAGACGGATTATTTTCTAATGAACACCAATGAGTTCACGGAGTCTACCAGGCCAACTTTGCGCTCGATTCATTACCTTGGAGGCTCTGCCATCCCAGCTCCAGTCCCGTTGAGTGATGTGAGAGCTTAATGCTTTATTAGTTTGTGATTAAGTTCCACGGAGCTATATATTTACCATACGACTTCAAAAGTCTCTAACTTCTATCCTTATTTTTACCCCGTTTAGGAATTTGAACGAATTATTTCAAAAGGCACTAAAGGAGCAATTCTTTTCTCTCTGGGTTCATTGGTGAAGTCAAGCCATATGCCATTCGATATTCGTCAAGGTTCGTCTATCAACTAATCATTTGTCTAACGATGCTCATGGAAAGAATCTCGTGATTAGGTACTCTATTTCACCCTTAGATTTAAGGCATTACAAGGATTGAGCGAATATTTAAATAAATTAGGTATCAAAATGTTAACTATTTATTTGTTGCCTACTGCAATTTTTCATGGCACGGTATTATGTGAAATCAACCATAATGATGCTGAGATATTTGCAAATTCTGGAGCACAGGTGTCGTCGGCGGGGATAAAACAAGCCATTATCTTTTTCGGGGGCTAACGCGCTCACCACCACATCATGCGGGTCCTTCGTTTCCCCTGTCTCTCAGCTAGTTTTTCTCTCTACCAGTGCTATCAGCAATCACCCGTCAGAATAGGTATCGCTATCCATTATAGCTCCTCTTTATGCACTTCATTTACGCCTAAAAACGGTCGAAAAGCATTTCAAATTTATGATTTTGTATTTCAAAATCTATTATGTGAAATCTATGAGGTTCGTTCAACCAAGTATCGATTATTTTCGTTCTCTCTTCGCTATGGAGGAAACAAAACGTTTGAGGTGTCCTCCGATTTCAGCATTTATTGAAGCATTTCGATCATTCCCAGACTACGTAGTTATATGGAAGGATGATGCAATAGCAAACACAACCACTCCAAACATTTATTTTCACAGCTGGCTTCCACAAGTAGATCTTCTAGGTAACACTTTCACTGATAATTTCGATAATGACTACTTCATAAACCTGTAAAGGCAAGAATGGTCCCTGATTTATTCATTTTTTCTTCTAATAAGAACTTTTTTGGGACTTTTCGGCTTTGATGTCGATAGTTACTGATTGTTCTCTATATAGCCGATGGACGAGTGAAACTGTTCATAACACATGGTGGGATGAATTCGATCCATGAAGCGTTACTGTTTGGCGTCCCAATGATCACTTTGCCTCTGTTTGCTGACCAGGTAGATTCTTACATTAAGCATGTATTACTTAAGTGTCTAGTAATGGAGCAGCTGGAGACTTAAGGCGGCTTTTTTTTTACCATTCTTTAAAGTTTTTGCTTCGGGATCTCTAATCTTCTTTAAATTCTACGGTATGGTAACATGTATTTCTCGATTCGTAGACTATGGGGCTGCACACAGCTCGCTTGTCATATGTATAGCATTACGGATCTATACGCACACTTTACACAAGCATTGTTCTCATTTTTAAATGTATTTGAGAACCACCATTTATTCCTTAATTCATTTTAATTTTCTTTAGGATTCAAATGCCGCAGTGGCTGCTGAACGTGGATTTTCAATCAATCTCAACAAATTAGCGCTTTCTAAAGAGATAATAATTGATGCAATCAATACGGCACTTGGACAAGATGGAGAGGAAAGGTTAGTTGTGTTCTGAATTAGTCGGATGGAGGTGTCTGTCAGTAGCCTTCAGCAGGGAGAGAGCGGTCATTTTTTGAAAGTTAACTAGATTCCAAGCTTATTTTAAGAGTGGAAACGTTCAAAAGTACTTAATGTAGTATTTGCGTACCATGTATATAAATTTAGTGTGTATACACTGCGAGTTCGACAAGCAGCACGATTACTAAAGGGAAGTCCGGAGGAAATGCGTCAAACGATTAGAAGGCTAGCGCAAGTGTCAGCCACCGAACCAGCACTAAATCATCTGAAACTCGACATCCGTCATCTGAATAGTCTTCAGTATTACAACATTGATGTATATCTATTGATATTCACTATATTTTCGATCTTTACTTTGTCATATTGGAGTTTTTATAGACAAATAACCCGACGCTTGTTAGTTTCAAAGAAGAAAAATGATTAATCATGTAAATTAAGAATGCACGCTGTCTGTGATGAGAGATAATTGATTCTGATTCTGAGATTCTGTGATAATATAATCCATGTGCAATAAATATGTCCTAAAGAGATCGGCTATGACTAGCAGTGAAACGCCAGATGTTTCTATTCTGTAGACTTATTTCAATCAACGGCAGATCAGACGAAGATTTTCCCAGTATGGCCCGTAAAACGGCGAAGGTTTTGAGTAATATGCTCAGGTCCTAGCTGTATTTTGGATTTAAATTTTGTTCAATATAGCTCTTATGCACCCGAGTTTTGAAATTTTCGTGAGTACTGTCTTTCGATCATCAGTATGCGATACTTGCCTACATTGACATTTTGTCAGCAGGAGCAATTGTAGTCACCCGTCTAATGTTTGTTCAGCATGTTATAAGGACGAGAGCTAGCTGCATTCGAATGCGCAACAATGTCGCTTGCTCTGAATCCTATTACACTCTTGCTATTCATATGGTATAGACCCTGGAGAGGTCATGTTCGACTTTGGGCAGGATTATAGGTGTTGTACAGCAGACTATTCGTTTATTCTTTGCTGTACTCCTAAGCTAACGGACGGTTCCTTTCGTTTATACTCTTAATTAATCTGATGGATATTAGCTTCCTCTTTCTCTACTTGCATCGTGTATCGCTTCACTATTTGTATTACCGTATAATTCTTCTATTTTGTAGTTATTATTCTGTGCATAATAACCACATGTAGCTTTGTCGATACAGCCGATTAAAGAAACTTTCAGAAACGCCCGAGCAATTTCTTTTGGGCACACCCGCACTTCTTTAGTGAAGGTATCATATCGCTTTATCCATCTATTTACCATCAAGGACCATTACATAACAGGTCCATATGTGCATTGTTCTGGATGTGTTTCGTGATGGAACAGGGAGCTGGGATATCGGTCAAGGGTGTGGGCTAGGAACTTTAGCTTGGTGTCTCGGGTGATTTCAGAAATTGTATTTAAGAAAACTCTGTTTTGGTCATGTATAAGAACTGCATAGAACCTTTGATGTGCATAAGTTATCAGCTCATATCGCAGCTGCATTGCAGAGCACTTAGAGAACTATTGATTAAAACAGGTTATTCATGGAGATCTGGATCCTCCGGTTTGTCAGCGGACTCTTTGAGAGGAGCGAGGGCTGCAATGCTTCCTTCCAGCCCCAGTCTACCTCCACCTACGAGTCTTTCACGATGAGTCTTATTAAACGCTGTAGTTACGCATAATACGTGGGTTTCCTTATCTGAAAGCTACAGATCTATATTCTTTTTCCATTCCAACCCTCGGTCTAACCATTTTTCGAAGTGAATGGTGAATGGCTACATGGAATACTGCACATATTGGGGCTCTTTTGAGTAGCTTTGAGTCAAAAACACGACAAAAACACGGAAACCCCAACTATCCGATGGAGGCTCAGTCATGAAGTTGATGCAGATGTGAAGATGACGACATTGTCGAGAGACAGGCGAAAAGAAGGACCCACGCATGGTGTGGTGGTGAAGCCCGTTAGCCTCCGGAAAAAGTAATAGTGCATTCGTTTCCCACAGCAGACATTTGCGATGCGGAGTTTTGCAAATACTTCAGCACCATTGTGGTTGTACTTCGCATAATATCCGGCTATAAAGAGTTCTAGGCAGCAAATAAAAAGTTAATATTGTGACTTAATGTTTCTGTTTATTTCGCTTTCGTTGTAGTACATGTTTGTTTAGAATGTTCTGAAGATTCTTCTAAGTTAATCATAAGAGTAGTAGTAGGACGACCGAAAAAGTAGTTTTGTGCCAGGAATGGCTCAAAATGGCTCAGTTGAGATTAGTGATTCTGAAGATGTGTTAGTTTTCTCGTAGTTTCAAGAAACTTTCACCCTTAGAGGGTTTGAAAAATCCCGTTATCTATTGCCACACAAACAGTGGGCGATGTTGGATTATCGATAACAGTCGGTATTTTTTGGCTAAGTGAAACAATTGAAAGGTTAAGAGCTTGGCATGTTTATAATAGCTGCGTCATAATGTCGCTGTAAGAGTATCTATGACTTTTCTAAAATATTTTGACTGTATTTCTTTCAAAAGTTAAGGCACAAGTCAGGATATTTATAGCTCTTAACGCAACGGTGTCAATCCCAAGCACCAAGAATATGTTTGAGGATAAAGCTAGTGACCTACAGGATGAAATCCTGATTGTTAACTCTTCAAGATGTCCAAAATACGAGCTTGTCCAAAAATGAACGTTTTAATACGTTTTATGAGCTTAAAAGTGTCAAAAATTATCTTAAAAGAATAAGGAAAATTTCCTCTTTTTGGAAGAGCTGTGCTGAATTTAGCGATTTCTGTTTCATTTAGCAATGTTTATTGTTGCTTGAGGAGGTAGATAAACGATAGATGTTCGGCTTTCATCAATCTCTTAAGAGAGAGCCATGCCGTCGACTCTATTCGTCCCATCATACAGGTGATTGAATACATATAGAACCTATAGGACGGCTAGGCTTTACGCTCTAGCCAATCAGTGTTTTTATCCTGAAAGGCAACCTGGTATCAATTTTCCGACTCCAGAATAATGCATGGCTTGGTGAATCCGAGCAGGATCGAACCAACGACTACGTTTTATTGCGTGGTAACACTTCAACCTCCGTTTTACAAGCGCTTCATAATATTAGACGGTACAGTATTTTTGTGTCTTCTATCGGTTCAAGTAGTTTCTTGTGGCGTATTATGTGCTATGTCCTTCAGGTATTTAGTTAGTTCTTGTGATAAATAAAAACAAAGCATCAGTTCTATTTGGCAAGCAGAAAATAACTTAAGAGTTCATTTGTTTTGCCTACACGTCTTCCCACTAATTTCGTGGAACATGCCGAATGCCTCGGATTTTCGTCTACTTGTTCGCTTCGTTAGATGGATGAGTTCGGCTCTGGCTTGATGATCTGACATGTTCTTTTCCTATTGATGCGTTAAAAATTCAAAGATGTTGCAACAAGCCGACTCCAATACTGACTATGGCAAAGACAAACTTGCGACTCCTCTTCGCTTAGCAGTCTATAGTTTTCATTACTGTTCGATTTCAAATATTTGCTGCGACTAAGTTTACACTGAGGGCATGTGACTTCTAAACTCGATCATTTTTTCCTAAACTGCAAATTTTACTGGTGGTCTTTCTAATCTGACTACCACACGGAGTTCTATCCATGTATGAGTGCATTGGTTTCGCTGTTTTTCGTGTAGACGTTGAGCGTATGGTCTTTCGGCTCGTTATCTGCTGGTACGGTGCTAATTTCTATGACTCGTGGTTACGTCTCCAGTTTGGGGTCTTGTGTCTGGAGGTTGGAAATCTCTTGAGGTGATGAGTTTATCGTGCTCACTATCTCCGCCACAACACTATGACCGAAATTTGGCTAGCAGTAGAAGATCCTTAAGAGAATACTCTCATCCATCCATAAGAATTCTCCACTTCCTCACAGAGGTTCTCAGTTCGCCCTTAAAGTTTTCTACTGCTACTTTCAAGCCGTCTTTTTTTGTATCTTTGCTTCAGTGATTGCACCTACCACGCTTTATCGAATGTTTCTAAGTTTTTTAAGTAGATTTTTTTTCATTTACTTAGTACTCAAAGGTGATTTTATTCGCGTTCCTGTTTGTACTTATGATCATTGCGTTTTATCCGTCGTGTCTCATTGAATTTTAAAGAAAACACATTTGGTTCTTCATAGAGAGATAAGGAAGGGTAGCAAACTGTTCTAACGGCCCTAGATATTACACTCTAATAGAGTCACCTTGTACTAGTGGCTGTCGTGATCTGACTAGAACCACCCGAATGTTAACTTGAACTCTTGGGCCAGACATCATAAGTCACAATTCTGAACGCTGTACGATCACTGAGACAGAATTTTCAGAGAGCGATCATTTCAAAAAAAATTCTCGATACCCATTTTTTTTACATTGATCCTTCCCTCTCGTCTCTAACATCCATCCCTTTTTTTCAGACGAAACTTTTTTCAAAACTGTGATTGCAGCAAAAAGAATATTTATAACAAATAAAGGGTATATCCGGCTACGTGTAGCGCAGTGGTTAGAGGTGTTTTATAATCTACACGCGGTCAATAGCTCGATCACCCGCCCGCCCTCGCTAAGCCTTCCATCTCTCCTGGAACAGCAAATTGCTATCGGATTTGTTGGTAGGAGACCAGGATTGAGGTGATACATCGGTAGGTCACCACATGTCAATGTATAGGCTGAATACGCATTCAACCACCTCTAATTATACCCGATGAAGTTGAGACCGTGGTGCACCCCTCAGGAATTGACCAAGACTAAAGGCTCTATCCTTTTTTTAAAAGGACATATCTCATCCATTCGTGAGTTCTGTCAGCAGATTAGGAATACGAATTCACATTGTAAAGGTTGTTGTAACCTTAGATGAAGAAAGATTTTGTGTTACTTTTATTAGATTGACATAAGAGAGAAAATTTTAACACTCATGTTGAGACGATAAGTTAGCAGACGTATGACTAATCCTTCATCCGACTGGTTCACAAGTTTGCGCTTTGCAAACCGTTGCGAGCCAATTGCTATTTCACCAATCACAATTGGAAGTGAAAGCTCTGTGACCTCGGAGTCGAATCAAAACTGGCGACGAGCACGGTAAGAAGGTCGTCACGCCTCTACTCCACATATCAAACTTATTATCGAGCTCTTTTCTTCGCAAAGGAGCAGATTTAAGGAAATATTCACTCAGTGAGGGGCTTTCAAGCCATGCTTTCCAAACTCTTGGGTTTGGTAGGCGAACCGTGGCTGATTCGATTAATTCACGAGGCCACGCTTGATGCGTCGAGTCACGAGGCTGCCTACCACTTTGTTTGCCGTCGTACTACGCAATACGTGTGGTCAAACATATTTCATTTGTTAGTTGTCAACGTAATGCCTCATGAAGGAAATGTTTAAAAGCTGAGCAACCACTGGCGAGAAGAAAAGGATTGTTTTTTCTTTG